TTAAATATTTGTTTTTGAGAGAGAGTGCATGTGAGAAGGGGAGGGGTAGAGAGAGAGGGAGATAGAATCTGAAGCAGGTTCCAGGCTCTAAGCTGTCAGCACAGAACTCGACACAGGGCTCAAACTCACGGACCACGAGATCATGACCTGAGCTGAAGAGGGACACTTAACCAACTGAGCCACCCAGGCGCCTTTTTTATTTTTAATTTTAGAGAGAAAGAGAGCACACAAGCAGGGTTAAGGGGCAGAGGGGGAAAGAGAGAGAATCCCAAGCAGGCTCCATGCTTATTGAAGAGTCCAAAGCAGGGCTCAATCCCGCAACCCTGGGATTATGACCTGACCCAGAGTCAAGAGTGGGACGCTCAACAGACTGAGCCCCTCGCCACCCAGGCACCCCCACCTCCATTTTCCAAATCAGCAGGTGCATCTCACCTGGACCTGTGCTTCTACTGTCACTTCTTTCACTCTCTTGTCCCCCCCCCTCACCCCCCAGCTTCATTTACACAGACCCTTACAATTACATTGGGCCTACGTGGATAACCGGGCTACTCTCCCCATCTCAAGAGCCTTAACTTAATCATACCTGCAACCTCCCCTTCACCGGGGAAAGTAACACATTCACAGGTTCCAAGGATTAGAGTGTGAACATCTTTAGTTTTTTATATAATTTTTTCAATTTTTTTTTTTTTTGAGAGTGAGAGTGAGAACACGCAGAGGAGGGGCAGAGAAAGGGAGAGAGAAAATCCCAAGCAGGCTCCACGCTGTCAGCACAGAGTCCAATGCAGGGCTCTATCTCACGAACTGTGGGATCATGACCTGAGCCAAAATCAAGAGTCAGATGCTCAACCAACTGAGCCCCCCAGGAGCCCTGAGTGTGGACATTCTGTGGGCCTACACTTCCACTTACCACAACGGGGCTGGCCCTATGTTCTCCAAAGAAATTGTTTGGATTCATGTATGTATACTATAAAGAAAACTAAAAGGTTGGGGGAAGCAAAAAGAAAAAACTCACAAGATTAAGTTTTTCCAGGGGCACCTGAGTGGCTCAGCCGGTTGAGCGTCCAACTTCGGCTCAGGTCATGATCTCATGGTTCGTGAGATCAAACCCCGTGTCGGGCTCTGTGCTGACAGCTTAGAGCCTGGCTCCTGCTTCAGATTCTGTGTCTCCTTTTCTCTCTGCCCCTCCCCCTCTCACACTCTTGTCTCTCACTCTCTCTCTCTAAAATAAACACTAAAATTTTTTTTTACATTAAGTTTTTCCATACCAGAACCACCCTCCGTTTTTAACATTCCAGGTGATACTTTTAAATACCTAGTGGCAGAGACACGGTGAAGGAAGATGGGGAGCCACACGGTGGCTGTTGAGAGCCAAACTATGATGCAGTCAGAAGACAAAGGGGACGTGAGGCCCAGAGGCCCAAGTTTCTTGGGAAAGACTGATATTTTCCTAGCAACAGAGGCTTATGTCCTTCTGAATGAATGATGCCAGTGTTATCCGTATGTCAGTTTGCAGCAAGGAAAATCAGATTGCTTTATAAGAGATGGTAAAAGCCACTGTAAAAAAACAAAACAAAACAAAACAAAACCAACCCCCAAACAAAAACAACTACTTAACTACTTCTAGTTTCGCCAAGAACAGACATGAAAAATGTGTGGCCAGTGGGAAAGGAATGTGGTACCATCAGAGGCCTGACAAATTGGATTCTTTGTAAGTGATGCGCTGTCCAGCTCAAGTCCTGATCTCAGCTGCCTTCCAAATCATCCCGCATGAGACATCTGTGCTCTGTGAGACTAGCCTGACTCCACAGAAACGTGCCGTAACCAAAGGAAATAGAGAGCCAGTCAAAATCGATTCTAATAATTGTTTGCAGGAAAGAAATCAGATAAAACCGAGCGTGATTCACGAGAAAGGTTTCCAATCTCCCTTTACTGGCTGTCCCTTGAGAAACACGCATGTTCCTGGTATCAGGGATGAGACAGTAGCAGTGTGTGCCTCTACTTCTCTCCTACCACTTTGGCAATGAGACGATCACATCAACATTAAATTAGTGAGACTGCAAAGCTTATGCCAAAAACCAAACAAAACTCAGACGTCCATGTCAAATCCCCTTACTGTAACAAAACAATCAAAATATTATCAAAAAAAAACATGTCCAGGACCCTGCCAATGACAAAAACGTTTCAAGAAATATGTGATCCAGCAAAGCACCCAAATGAAATGAATTTAAACAGTCCTTCAGTTTTTATCATGGAATTAGACCTGGAAAGGTGGTTTAAAAAAAAAAAAAGACAAAGGGTGACCTTGATAATAAATGTATGCAGTATAATTTCACCAGCCAATATGGTGTAAACAGTAGGTACTTTCTAATATCTGAATTAAATTGTTTGTCTGGTAGTGGACAGAGAGGCCTCAAACTCTGGATCTGTCACTTAATGTAAACATGGACGTGTGTGTGTGTGTGTGTGTGTGTGTGTGCGCATGTCAGAGACAGCGACACTGAGAAAAAGAGAGACGACACACTATAGCTAGAAGTGTTGTGCTGGAAAAGACAGTTCTGCTTCATAGCTGGGTTTCTAAGAGACTTTTTCCAAGTGGGTTTATATCGATCCAATGACGCATGAGCATTTCTAAGCTACTGGCTTTTGTATCCCTCCAAAAACGTTTTTGAGAACAAATCTCAGGTTTAGAGTTTATAAGGATAAAATAAAACAGAAGTATAGACTTTTTAAGATTTGTTTAAATCTTTGTTTTTGAGAGAGAGGGAGAGAGACAAAGTGCTAGTGGGGGAGGAATAGAGGGAGAGGGAGACACAGAATCCGAAGCAGGCTCCAGGCTCCAGGCTGTCAGCACAGAGCCCGACACGGGGCTCGAACCCACAGACTGCGAGATCACGACCTAAGTGAAGTCACACACTCAACCAACACTCAACCACCCAGTCACCTTGACAATGTGATTTAAAATTAAACATGCATAAAATTAAACATCCACCGCTCCCTACCACTAGCCAACCTAACAACAAGCCAGAAATCCGTGTCAATACTACTAGACCTCCATCCCTGGAAATGTACCGCATCAAAATAAGTGCCACAGGGAAGGACGTGTATAAGGATGTTTATCGCAGACCAGTGCGTGGTGGCCAAGCACGAGGAACAAAGGGAGTGTCTGCTGACAGGCAACAGCTAAGTGCATCAGTCAACCCGCAGCACTGCATAGTGCCATTACTACCACCACCACCAAGAGAAACCGCCGCAAATACAGAGAACAGACCAGTGGCGGCCAAAGGGGAGGAGGTAGGGGAGATATGCAAAGGGGATTAAGATGTACCATCTTCCAGTTATAAAATAAGTCACAGGGATGAAAAGTACAGCATAGGGAATACAGCCATGGACACTGGTAGTAACTTTGCGCGGTGACTGATGGTAAGGAGACTTACCGCAGTGAGCATACCGCAATATACACAGTTGTCGAATCACTATGTTGTACGGCTGAAGCTAAGACGTCAACTATACTTCAATTAAAATTTTTAAAAATTAGGGCGCCTAGGTGGCTCAGTCAGTTGAGCATCTAACTCTTGATCTCAGGTCAGGTAACGATCTCACAGTTTGTGGGACTGAGCCACACATCGGGCTCTGTGCTGACAGCATGGAGCCTGCTTGGGATATTCTCTCTCTCTCTTTGTCCCCTTACCACTTGTCTCTCTCTCTCTCTCTCTCTCTCTCTCTCTCTCTCTCTCTCAAGAAAAGTTTTTATTTTAATTAAGCAAATAAATAAAGAGTAGATTGGGAAGGGTTCCCATGAGGAACTGTCTGATCAAAAAAGCAAGATGCAAAAATGCATTTATAATATGATTCCATTCTAGTAAAACAATGACCAAATAACCCAGTATATGTGTGCATTTCCATGCACACACGTCAGTGTAGAAAAGCGAGTGTGGAAAAAAATGGAGCAATATCAAATTAGAGGATGTATCTGGCTATATCCTAGAGCTGGGATGTACAGGGAAGGTACTGGAAGGAACTGGAAGGAAGCAAACTCAAAAGCAGAAGAAAAAAAGCACTGCACTAAAGGTTAAAGCATATGCGCTTTCACACTTATTGTTACAAAAATTTTGTATGAGGGTAGGTATATGTTTCAGAGAATTAATCTAAAGGGTTTTTCTATACTCAAAAATAGCCAAAACAGAAAAACCAAAGAAGAAATTAATGGTTCCAAGGTTTCTGCCTAATGACCTCATGCAACCACTTGTAAAAATGAAATTGGCCTTATACACGTGGGAGTCGTCTTTTTTTTTAAATTTTTTTTTTAATGTTTTATTTATTTCTGAGAGAGAGAGAGACAGTGTGAACAGGGGAGGGTCAGAGAGAGAGGGAGACACAGAATCCGAAACAGGCTCCAGGCTCTGAGCTGTCAGCACAGGGCCCGACATGGGGCTCGACATGGGGCTCGACATGGGGCTCGAACCCACGAACCGTGAGATCATGACCTGAGCTGAAGTCGGACGCTGAACCGACTGAGCCACCCAGGCGCCCCCACGTGGGAGTCTTCTAAGTATGCCTTTGAATTTAAAAGTCCACTTAAGGGTTAAGCCCTCCATAACAATACTTTTATCAAGACAAACCAGTATCCCATTCAGGGATACCCCTGTTCATAAGTAACAAGGTTGGAATGTGTCTCCAGGAGCTCCGAGTTCCCGGTGGCTGGGAAATCAGAGGACGCGGGTACAAGTCCTGGCTTGTCCAGGAAGTCTTTACAAGGATGTGAGCCAAGTAACCCATTTGTTGGGTCTTGTTGTTTCCACCCGTAAAATGGGAGGCGGGGGGGGGGCGACGGCCCACACAGTGTGGCCTTAACACTCTATGAATTCTTCCTGATTCTTCTTTGCTTGAAAAGCCCCAGGAATCGTTGCTAATTTAAATGTAATCAGAGATTCAAAAATGAGCCCATTTCAGAGAAAGCAGTCCCGTCTTTTCTGATCACTAAACCCCAGAAGCCGCCATACCTTTAGGAATAGGCTGGGAATGCTTTGCTCCGTGGTCCAGTTTGAAGTCCAAATATAAGGTTGGTGTGCGAGTGTAAATCTTAGACTGAAAAGGAAAAGGAAACCATCAGAATCTTTCCAAAAATACAGTTCTTCAGTTCAGCTGGGCCCTTCTCTGATGGGTCTGGGGCCTGGATGATTATATTAACAGTTCCTCCTTGGCAAGCGTTGTTAAAGCAAGGGCATGGGCCACCATACAGCCCTCTCTTAAGGGTCTTCATCTAAAAGTTAGCCCTCTTAGCTTTACAATATGGTTGACAAACTAATTTCAGGATGACAGCTATCTCCCTGTAACCGTTTCTCAGATATGGTCCCAGGTTAAGAGTTTATTGGCCAAGACCTGCCTCCAGTCCTCTACTTGATAATAGCAGGGTAACTCATGTCCCAATGTGTGCTTCTTCTCAGGTCTCAATAAAGCCATGTCCATTTAAAAAAAAATATTCTTAAGTGGCCAATAAATATTTGTATTTGTTCTAACTCGGCCCTCAGGCGAAAAAAGGTCATCCACCACCACTGGCTTGAAAAAGCCACGACTTCAAATGCAAGAAAGGCAAACTTCTGCAAGACTTTCCACCGTAAACTGTGGCTTCAATTCCATCCACAGTTACGCAGAGTTCGTGATCCAATAGGATATCATTCTTTGAATCATTGGCACAGACCAACATCCAAGGGATTATCGCTGTTGCTATGAACTTTGCGATGTGTCTCACTGTTTATCGCAAAGCCACAGTGGTTCCGCTTGACTTTTTTAAAACCGAAATACACACAAAAATGAAAAAGCACGCAACCCCAAATGTGGCAAAGATGTGGAGTAACTGCAGCTTTCTTATGCTCCTGGTGGGACTGGAACTTTGGATACACACCACAGAAAGCTGCCTGGCAGTACGCAGTGCACCTGAGTGTGTGCGTGATCTATGACTCAGCATTCCATTCACACGTGGACCCTCAACAGAAATGTTCACCTAAAGAGAAGTACATGAATCTTGATAGCGATACTGTCAGTAACAGCCCAAACCTGGAAATATTCCAGATGTCTTTAACGATAGAAGGGATAAATGGGTTGTAATCTACTTACACAGTGAAATACTAGACCACAAGGAGAATGAATGAACCCAACTATACGCAACGACTCCGATAAATGAAGGCAGACACAGGAGATCAAATACCGTATGATTCCATTTCTATAAAGTTACAAACAAGGCAAAACTAATCTATGATGTCAGAAGTCGGAAAAGTGGCTACCTTGGGAAGCTTAGTAACTGGAAGGTGTTAAAAAGCAGACTCCTGGGGACAGACAATCTCTGCCTCTTGACCTGGCTTCTGCTTTCATGGGTGTGTTCACTCAGTGAAAATTCTCCGAGCTATACACTTGATTTGTATATTTTTCTGTGTCTATATTATATTTTTTAAATGTTTTATTTATTTCTGAGAGAGAGAGAGAGAGAGAGAGAGAGAACGTGAGCAGGGGAGGGCCAGAGAGGGAGGGAGACACAGAATCTGAAACAGGCTCCAGGTTCTGAGCTGGCTGTCAGCACATAGCCCGATGCGGGGCTCAAACCCACGAACTGTGAGATCATGACCTGAGCCAAAGTTGGACACTTAAACGACTGAGCCACCCAGGCGCCCCTAGATTTTAATAAAGAGCTGTAAATAGACCATGTAAATAGGCCAAAAGAGGGAATCCAGAGCCCACGATTATTCACTATCCTTGATAAATGCATCATTTGGCAGAGAATAATTATGTAAATGCTGGAGCACATGAACATTGCTGCCTTTTTCACCGAGGGCCAGCCCATGCTGCCTATCACATAGGTGTTCAATAAATAGTTACTGGCTGATTTTCATAATGGAGCATCCCATGAATAATAAATGTATTTACAGTATACATAAGGTATTCGTCAGTATCTTTACCTACCTGTAGCAAAATGCCTCTCTTCAGGACAGCTGATTTGGTGTGGTTAAAGTGTTATGTCTGTGCATTAAATTTTGGATACAGAATCATAAATAATGCTATCAAAAGACTGCTTTCCTATGACTGTCTCATGTACTGAAGCTTTGGGCTTTAAGAGTCCTGGGAGGGGGCGCCTGGGTGGCTTAGTCGGTTGAGCGTCCGACTTTCGCTTAGGTCATGATCTCGCGGTTCGTGGGTTCGAGCTCCGCGTCGGGCTCTGTGCTGACTGCCGGCTCAGAGCCTGGAGCCCGTTTCAGTCTGTGACTCCCTCTCTCTCTGACCCTCCCCTGCTCACACTGTCTCTCTCTCTCTGTCTCTCTCCTAGAAATAAATAAAACATTAAAAAAAAAAAAAAAAGAGTCCTGGGAGGTGGTTTTATGTGGCTTAGAAGGCCAAGCTACATCAATTCAGCTTCAAAGACTACAAAAGCAAATTCCCCTGTGCATACATAAATGAAACCAGAAAGACCTATGGCATCAAGTGCAACCTCAGGCCAAAGATTCACAATCAATCTGAAGACCTTGAAGCACATAAAACAAGGGCACCATCTGGCAAGGATCTGGTTTTGTCTGATGAAGACTTCTAAAATTACCTCTAAAAGGATCAAGCAGAGAGGCGCCTGGCTGGGTCAATCAGTGGAGCGTGTGAATCTTGATCTCGGGGCTGTTGAGTTTGAGCCCCACGTTAAGGGTAGAGATTACTTTGAAAAAAAATTTTAAGAAAAAGATCAAGGGTAAACTTCATCTATTATCGATGACTCCCCTACCTGGGCAATATTTGGCTCTCTTCTAGAAAAAGAATCCATGTTTGGTTTAGGTGTCTTTCCGAACTTCTGCCTCAGTAGCCGATGCAGTATCCCTGCCTCCAGCAAAGAGATTATCACAGAGAGTCTCTTGGTTTAATTTGCACTCGAATTCTCCCAGAATGTAGTCATAATAATACTCTTGAGCTGGAAGGCTTTGGTGCCGGCATGGCTTTTCCCGCTAACTAGCAAAGCACTTATCTTCTTCTGGGCTTAGTTCACTCATCTGAAAATCTCATGATAGGGCTCACTGACATTTAAATCCATGGCTGGTTCTAAAATTCTGAGTCGGAAAATTAACGTTTTCCTCCACATTTTAATTTTGAAAGTTCCCTTCTGACTTCTCAGATGAGAGCTGTCAAAAAGGGAGACTGAGACTGGGGGCAAGGGAAGATGACTAGAACTGTGGGAAGGAAGAAGGGGGCCACTGGTTAACTGGCTCTACTCTTGCCCTCAAACTCAGTCATCAGTCTTGCCCTCCTGGCTGGCTCTTCTTCCTTTCTTCCTGCCTCTAGCTTCTCAACCTGACCCATACTGTCCAAAAAACAGTCACCTTTCTAAGACTGCAACAACACACACACACACACACGCGCGCGCGCGCGCGCGTGCACACAAACACACACAGAATTCTGTATTTATGTACTCATTTACAAAAATTCAAACAGAAACCAGTGAGAGACGTTATAAAGCCACAGATATGTCCTATCATCTTACAGTGTGAAAAAGACTAAAGGAAATTTTTTTAAAAACCCTTTTTTTAAATGTTTATTATTGAGAGAGAGAACGCAGGCGCGAGCAAGGGAAGGGTAGAGAGAGAAAGGGAGACACAGCATCAGAAGCGGGCTGTCAGCACAGAGCCCGATGTGGGGCTCGAACTCACAAGCCTTCAAGGCATGAGTTCATGACCTGGGCCGAAGTCAGCCACACAACCAAGTGAGCCACCCAGGTGCAACTAAAGGGAATTTTTTAATTCATTTTGAAAGTGTTTTTCACATCTATAGCCTAAAACAGAATCCCAATGCTATTATCCTTTTCTGTACTGAAAACAGGAATGTAACATGTCTTGACTAATCAATACCCCAAACCTAAATGTATATTGTTTTATTTCAATTAATCCATAATGAGATAAAATCAATTTGGAAGCTATTCTCATGAGTGTATATAGGTATATACATGTATATATACATATGTACATATATATATACACACACATATATACATGTGTTATATATATGCATCATTTTTTAAAAGCAGATAGGTTTTTAATTTTGATCTTCCGTGGTAACTCTGTTGAAACAGCAAATGTAAATTATGTTCATTTAACACAAGAATAATGCTCGCCTCGAATTCATTTAGAGTAAATCTAGATTTCATTTTTCTATTACACACACCACTGATCTGCAACCATAAAGAAATGTCACCACTAAGACATGCTTTACTGTGTTCTGTTTATTTTTATGTATGGTATTAAACTATTAATATGGTCCTTAAAACAGAATGAGAATTTAATTAAACAAATCATTCTTCTCCAGTTAAGACTTAGCTATCAATGTATATCTATTAAAATAAATCGGTCCATGACAACCTAAAGTGAAACATTATTCCACAAATCTGTTTCAACATGAACAGAACTAATTCACTTCAAGTCCATCAGTGAAATTGTTTTCTTTTTCCTTCTCTCTGTTTTGGTCCTGATCAATTGTGCCTGTACAGAGGCTAAAAGCCAAGGCTATTCCTCTTTGGTCTTTCTGCTCATTTCATAGACCTGTTAAAAGTATTTAGGAAACTTATCTTTAAAGGTTTTAGTCTACATTTGAAAAATCGAATGTCTTAAAAAATCTTAAGAGTTCCAATATGCAGGGAAGGGAACACAAAACTCTTCAGAAGAGGTTAAGGGTAAATTCTGGCTAATCTACTCTAACAGGGGTACTACCCAACCAGACAAGCCTGGTCTCTCTTTCTCTAGAAATATGTCAGAGTCAAACCTTTAATGAACCTAACATACCACTCCAATAATGACCACAAAACACCCAAGACCAAACAAGGTCTCCGAAATCACTTCCTTCCGAACCCCAGCGACCTTCATCTTATATCCTTCAAAGACTTCCTGCTTGCCCTGGCTTTTAGCATGATACCCTTGTCAAGCTGGCTTCCTGCCTCTGCGTTTATTGGTAAATGTGATCTTAATTAAGGAGATGAAATCACTTCCACATGCAAGCCATGTGGCCCAAAAAGCCGTCCCAAGAAAGAGAAAAGAGCACAGTATAGCTGCGCCGTGTGAGCACGGCAAGGG